TAAAGGCAACTCGCGAGGTAATGGCGATTCGCGGGATAGGCCATATATTCGCGTGCACGAATTTTAGTGTCTGAAACCGGTCCCTAGCTCGCGAGTTTGCTTTAGCTCGCGAAAATGGATTTCGAGGGCGCGAATTCTAGAGGGCTGAGAGTTTACTTGGTATTTAGAAGTGGTACTGAAGATCAAATAACAGGTACTACCGTAATATAAACGTGGTACTAGCGTACTCTATAACTGGTACTACCCACTGTTTGGGATGAAAATAAGTACAAACATATTGCCACAAAACTAATACCTATATTGCAAAAGAAGAGTGCCTGCTTTGACGTTCTTAAGTACCCATGTAGAGTTGAAAAAACATATGAAAATGAAAAATCTTTTATATCATTCTTTATATGTACTGTAGCACTACTTGCAAAATATTCATACAGTACATACTCGGAATACGTCAATAATGTCTCATAAAAAAAATATTCCGACCGCAAAAAAAAACTGACTAAAAACGACATGCCAACACACTTGCCAACAAAAAAAATACATCACCGATCTATATACGTTCTTTGCACGTACGTCGATTGTGCCCACGACCACCACAACGCTTACACCGCCTAACTGCAACATCAACTTGTGAAGGAAACCTTTTTTCCTTCCTTCGTCCGGGTTGAGATCGTACATCCGGGGCATGAATGACATCGTCATGATGCAATGAGGAAGATGCCACATTGTGGTCGTAGTTAGATATAGGGTTAATAGTACCATGATAAGCTTGCCTATACATCCCAACGCGATAAAATGGATCACAAAAATCATAGACGGACATTGACCGACTCTCAATACAAGCACATGCATGCTTGCAAGGCATCTTACATAGTTGCCATTCTCTACAAGAACAAGTACGAAGTTGCAAATCCACGTCACAAGTTTTGTCGGAATCAATAACCTCAAACCTCCATTCACTTGATTGGATGATTTTGATATTCTGGGAAGCATTGTAGCAAGAAGCAATTTTTTTTTCGAGCTTAGGACACAACTGGCCA